TGTTGAATTTCATTGAATAAATTATTGTTTGATTTTTACTAAATACTGTATATAGTTTATTACTAGAAGTTTAATTAAATATTTGATTTTGTTATTGACAAACTTTGTCATTATTTAATTCGGTGCACGCTTAAAGTCCAGGCCTGGCACACTAACGCGAATCCGCGTAAAGTACCCGTTAGGGAACGGCTATTTCCGGCACACAGTAGTGTCGATAATCGTTGGAAAGTCGGAAAAATAATATAGTACATTACAGTCCAACTTTCATTAAACAAAGAACTTGTCAACTTACTTTTCTTGTTTTCATTCAAGAATTCCAACTCCTTCCATTGAAGTTCATACAAGCATGTAAGTACATTTCCTGTGCAACAGCCAACGGGTTTCAGCATGGAGCAGCAATTGATAGTATTGTGATCCCATCATGTCATACAAAATGGCAAAGAGACACATGTTCAATGCACTTGCTTTCATGTAATTCATGATTTGCACTGCAGTTGAAGTACTTTTTACACTTTGGAATACATTTTTTCAGTTGCCAGCATTTTCCTGTTGATGACACAAGTAGATTTCATTTCATCACCTGTGACGGGTTTTATTCAAGCATCCCAGTCATAGCAGCAGCTCCATCAGAACAAACACCAACCATTGCTTTCATTTGCGTTCCTTTTCACACAAATAGTCATCAGTGGTATGAAATATCTCAATGCTCGTTATTCTTCTAGATAACTGAAAAAAGTTCAGCATTTCTTCCTGGAAAGTCTGAGATGCAAACTCAGCAAATCTGACATACAGAGCATTGTTGGAAATGTGTTGACTTGTCCACTTGGATTACAAAAAGCTTGATAACCTGACTGAATGAGACCAACTGGTTTTCAATATTGTCAGCCATCATTTTATTGTGACTGCAACAGTATCATTAGAAAGAAAAATAGCACACATCTTTGTAACCACTTTTGCCACCCAAAATATCCTGAACAGCATCAATAATGGAAGGCAGAATAAGGTCTTCTCCAAACAGTAAAAGCTTTCTTTCTTAGCTTTTGAAATATGCAATGCCACCAAAAATAATGCTTTCAGAGCAGCTTTGCTAGAATATGCATTGCTGTTGATTCTTCAAATCAGCTGCAACTTGCTTGAAAAAGTCAATGGAGTTCTCTCCATATCCTTTGTGTTAACTTTTAAGGTGTCATCTCAATTTAGCAGGCTTGATAGCTTTATTAGAAAGAATCTGACCATATATCACTGCTGTCATTGTACTGTCTTGGATGAAACTGATAAAACCATATCTGATATAATCAGCATCATAATATTGCACTTTTGAACTGCATGGCACTGAAATTCCTCTAATGATGATAGCTTACTACTTGATTCCTTGAAAACAGAGCTATACATTTCTTCAATGATGGTACTGTATGTTCAGTGACTGTGATGTCATTTTGGTGTCCATCTGGCAATAAGTTACAAACATGCTTGGTGCACAAAAAATGAAGTGAAAGCTTCTATTTCATGGTTGAATGTGTCCAAAAAGAGACCTCACCCTCAGAGTTAATGAAGCTACCAATTTTGTAAGGTATTTCATAGTAAATTATCTCAAACTTGACCCCCCTGTCCACATAATGGGCATATGCTATTACGGAAGAACAATGCACACCTTCAAAATGAACAATTTTTAAGATTTGCAAAAAACTTGCAATATATCGACCACTTGTGCTTTGAATTAGTTATCAAACACCAGTCTGATGATTTACACAGTTCTATTCTCAGAGCAAGGAAGCAGGCTGTTCAATGATCTTGAAACTTATTTCATAGAGTAACAAGACAAAAATACTAACACTGCTAGCAACATGGGGTCTGTGAGACACTGGCAAACTTTAATTAAATAAATAGTCTTTAATTGTTCTACACAGCAGCAGAAATGCCACTTTCTGTGTCTGTTTGGAGCATATCCACTTGAAGGTAGACAATATGACCAATTTGAGCATAAAGCAGATTGAAAATTATCCAAAATAAAAATTTGCAGGAAATCTGTTACATAATACCAGTTACAGGTTAATGTTTTAAAAATATCTTATCTGGTCAAGGATTAACCACATAAGATATTTTTAAAACACAAATGGATGAGTCCAATTGACTCTGTATTAATTCTTTGAAGTGATAAACATTTTTATTCTATGTTATTCTTATTCCACATTATTAGTAGAAAACAATTTTTTTAATTAATCCTTTGAATTACATTATGCCAACAAATTTTATTTGAACTTATTTTTATATGTGTGACATATAAGTCATTACTGAACGTTCACTGCATACATCAAAATGTTGTATTGATTTTGTGAATTTGAATTTGAGACTTGTTCATAGGGCACATGAAGCATTTTTTCTTTTGTAGTTCATCTTGACTAAAACAGCATATTGGATCTAACTTGTCTTTCTTACAGCATTTATCTTGTATTTTATCATCAAATCTAATGCACCACAAAATACTTGAATGATCAGTGTTCCATAGTAGCTCTGAAACTAGGAGAACCCTAAAGAGAACACCACAAAATTTTGTAACTTGTTTTATTGAGTTTCAGATGTCTTGCAATAAGAAGTCCAAAAATGATTGGCTTTGTATTATGTCAGATAATTTTCATTGGTGTCTTAGATAATGATTACTGTATACTCATATAGTTTCCAACTTGTAAACCAAACAATTTGTAGAAATATATCAGAAGTTACAAAAAAGTGAAAACTGTCAAATATACTTTCAAGTACATAGTGTTCAACTTTTTTCCAGATTGAAGAATGACTAACTGGTACATGTAAAGCACTTTTTATAATATTATGTAACTGAGATTACTTTTGCCAAGTTGGAATGGAAGATGATGTGTGCCTACCATTGTACCCACCATTGTACCCAAACCTTGATCATCCTTTCTGAAACATCCAATAACTTTGATTCGTGGTCAGACTTCTCATAATTTTCCTCCTCAACATTGTCAAATACAGTTGGTTCATCATTAGATAAAACATGATGGCAAGACATTTTAACAATCAAGGTAGCTGTTACCTCAAAAAAATACATTTCAAGTTACTTGCTGCAAATGCTTACATAATTTTGCAGCAAGTAACTTGAAACAACAATGGACAACAATTGGAATCCGAACAATGCTTTCTGCCTGTCTCAACAGAAAAATATATATATCTAATACAGTGAGTCTATCAGACTTCTGTTATCCATTTGAAGAGATTTTTTTAAATTTATAATATTTTAGGTCAATGTACACAAAATGCATTATTATTCTAGAATAAAGTTTTGTAAATATAAACTGACAAATACATGAAGCATCAAATAGTAATCTTAAATCAAACAAGACATATGAAGATTAATATGTTGAAAAGAATCCGACAGACTCACCTTATGTGGGTAAGGTGTATATTTGCGTATATTATGACTATTTTTAAAAGCTCAAATTTCTAAAGCCATTATTCTGAATGAATTTAAATAATTATTATTTTAAGTGAACTCTTACCTTTATCTAAATTTAAAGGAAGGGTTAATGTAATTTGTAATAATAAAGCAACAACATCTCTGAGGAATAATGGAACTTCTCTTTCTATATGAGCTAAACTATAAAGAAAATTAGAAATGCAGAAAATATTAGTATTATTAAACTACAAAGGAAATAAAAATAAGCACATTCTCACCTTGAATTTTGGCCATCTAATGACATTCCAGTTAACTGTGACCAAAGTTGTGCATAAGGTGTTTGCACAAGGACTTTTGTGTAGAGAGCCAATACATGAAATAAAGGTACTTGAAGGAGAAAAAAAAATTGTCAAATGATTTTGTAAATCATAATATTAAAAAAAAATAGAACAATGGTATTTTTACCAAAACAGGACTTTTTAATGGCAAGAGAAGAAAAATTCCCAACCCTTTGTAGTAATTCGATTTCTAAATTTGTTCTAAGAGCAGAAAAATCATTATTATTAGTAAAAATATATTTTTGAAATTAAAAAAAAAAAGAAAGTTTCTTCAGTACCTAGCTATAGAACATACAAATAACAACAAATATTGAGGATTAGGTGCTGAACCAACTGAACGAAATTGGGGATAAGTACTATTAGAAAGATCTTCTAGTATACCAGCCATTGATTTCAAGATACTGGGTATCTGCAGAAAAAATGGTTATTAAAAATAATAATAATAATAAATTTTATTATTTAGACTTATTTAACTTACAGGTGTAGGTATAACTGATAACACTTGTGACAACTCTGCTGCCACTGCCTTTAAAGTATTTGGGTAACATCGTACTACTGCAGCCATCTCTCCCATCTGTGGATTTATGGGAAGAACTGAATTGGCAAGCTGACGACATAAAGGACAGGAATATTCTCCTCTGTCAACAGCTAGATTCTGATGCCTCTGAGTTTGCTGGCTCTGAGACTATAAAAAGTTATAAAATTTAAGACAGGATATAAATGATTCATTATATTAAATTATATATTTTAAGTACCTTAAGAGATTGCATGTATGATTTATGGCAATCTAAGTGTAAATAATGACCACAAGATTGGACATGAACGCCTCCTTCCCATCCAATATTTAATGACATTTGCCATAAAGTCTAAAATTTAATCATTAAGATCAAATAAAAGTTTTCAGATTACAAATAAAAGATTTATTATGAAAAATCTTACATTATCAAAATGTTTGTTAAATTCTTCAATTAACTGTTCCATGTACAGGGCTAAACTTCCTTCTTTTTTTAACTGGAGTCTTTCTTCATCATTACAAGGTAAATTACGTAACATAATATCTTCCTGTTGCATATGTCCTAACACTAAGTTGAAAATAATCAGTAATTTATCAGTATAATAATCAGTAAAACTTCTTAAAATATGATTCCACAACTAACCACTGGTAGCTTGTAACAACACAACCATTCCAACAGGTCGTTCCTCTTCAGATGGTGTTGTTTGCCCACATATTACACATTCATATTCTCTTTCAATAGTTAAAATTGTTTCTTGTTTTTCTTTTTCTTTAGAGTTTGCAGCTTCAGATTCTAGAACGTTACAAAAATTCAATTTGTAAATTTAAATAATGGACTGGAATCAATTTATTTTCATGTTTGAATAATTTCCAAAAATAACTACAAAAATGGTTGAATTTTGCATTAATGAATACAAAAATACTAAATATGAATAGTGTCAAATTTGTTGATTCATCTTCAAGAGTTAGATATTTCAAAACTGCAACAATGTAAAAATAAATCTTAAAAAAAATTCAAACATTTCATAGCAGTGTTAGAACAATGCTATGAAATGTTATGTACAGTTCACTAACACTGCATATAACACTGAACACTACTATGAAATGTTTGAAATCTACACTGTAGCAGTGTTAGAACACTGCTATCTGAAAGTTAAAAGAATTTTTGTTGAGAAATACTAAAAAATTTATTATTTTATAAAACTACCTGTTTCCATTGTTTTTTGCATAAATGCTTTCTGGCGTGAAGCAAATTCAGCCATAAGTTTCTGTTGCCTTTCTTTTGCTCTTCTACGCCTAAAATACAAATTAATTCTCTTTCAGTATATGCATCAGATTATCCAAATTTCCATTTTACAAAATAAAAAATATTTTACCTATCTTCTTTATCTTGTATTTCTTTTGGTGATTTACTAGGATCTTCAAGTTTTTCTTTCTTTGGCCAAAGTCTCTGACATATTTGTTGGATATTTGTTTCTATTTGAGAGTTTAATTCAGTAAGTCTATCTAAAACTTTACCTATAAAGAATGGACCATCTCCTATCCGAGATTCTTTTTCATTAGGATCTATCATATTTGCAGTCCTTTTAGATAGAGGTATATAAGAATCAGATTTTCGGGATAATTTTGAATGTAATTTGAGCAACAAAGATAAAATACTCTCATTCACTTCTATCTTATTATATCCAGCTGATGGCAAGGCTTTTAATGAACCATCGGGATAATTTTGATGATCAGAACTTCCTTGACTGTTCAGACCATTACTTCTACCAAAAAACCGCTTGAGTTTGATGCACTGTGGCCTTATTGCTGTTGGTACTATGGCCATGCTATCATTATTAGTTTCACTAGTTATGGATGGCAGTGCTGGTGCAATCATCATCTGTGCTGTTACAGGCACTGTTGTTCTTAACATAACTGTGTTGCTTGTTGTAGCATTATCTAAAATTAAAATATGACAAATAATGTTTTTAATTATTAAACATTACATTTGTAAATTAAATTTTCTTTCAAAATATTATAATTATTATAAAATATCTTACTTGAAACTGGTACAAGAGTACCTGGAACTGATGATGGAGGCAGTGCTAATGGTACATTACTAGATGGAAGTTGTGGATGTTGAATAATATTTTCTCCACCTTCTACAATACAATTAATTATATTAGATATCAATCCAAATAATATTTAATCACTACTAAATATTACTTGGTTACCTAGAATTATCTTCATTTAAATTCTTTAATATTGTAAAAAATGTGCATTCTAACATTAATAAATAAAATTACTATTCATTATGAAAATATAGATTTATTTTTATAAGTTACCTTAATGTTTCAGTTAATAAATAGGCTATCAAAATTAAATATTAAATATGATGAACATTATAATAGATATTAATTATTAACTATTAAAAATTGTTTAAGTTAAATTTTACTTCATCTGCAATTTTCATATATAAAATTAATTATACTTATGTTACAATTTTACTGAATATTTAATTAAGGTTTATTAAGAAAAAGATTTGTATACATTCTTTCTTTAATTAATTTAAGCAGTTTATGTCCTAAATATTTCAGATAATAATACTCAAAATATTAAATTAAAGTAAATTATTTGTCAATTTTAAGAATTAAAAAAAATTATTTATATATATATCATCAATTTTTTCTAAATAAAGCTCAGAATTTTTAAATTTAATCAAAATGCTGAATACTGTATACTGACTTTATAAATCATGTATTCATATATTTTAACTTCTAAAAAACTAATTAATCTTCAGAACAATTCACATTCCAAAGTTAAAACAGAAAGAATGAATAAAGGTTTCAAAATTTATTTAAATTTTATCTCTAACACTCACTTAACTTTACTCAATTCAAAATAAAACTGAATATACATACAAACCAAAAAAATAAATTAATTATCAACACTTATATAATTGATGTATATCAAACAAATTCAACTTTTTATTGTATGTGTAAACTTAAAAACTAATATCTATTAAAAAACAATTAAAATTATTTTATTTTAGAAAATGTAATTGGATTTTTTTGAAGATGTAAAGTTTCATTGAAAATGTTTAAGAAATAAACAGATCAGTTTAAAACTGAATTATTTTAAATTCATGAAAAAAAATTTTTATATACGCTTTTATAATACAGTAGGCGATTGGTTAATGAACAGTTCGGATAGCGAACACTTTACTGAACAAACATAAAAAGAAGCAATGGAAAATAATGAATACCGATTAATTTTCCCTTGTCTTCAGGTAACAATTAGAAACCTTTCAGAGCGCGGGAGATGTCAACATCGACACTCAATCCAATACCGATCAGACAATATTCCTCCGAATTTTGAAACTCTCCCTTATAATTCCAGCTTTTTGTTTACCTTTCTGACAAATAATTTTTTATAGTCTTTGTGAGACTGTTGGACAGGCACTTGTTTTGTGTCGGGGTTTATTTACGAAAGGTGAATAAACTGTCCCATGAGATATTTGTTAACGTTTTAATACCAAATTTTGAATTTCATTCGGGCCATGCATTTAAATAATTTTATGTGGGCTAATTGATTTCTGTTCTCTGAATTTTTGTAGGTGCTTTTCTGAACTTTTTATTTAAAAATTAAACTGATAATATGGAGCCTAAAAAAGAGGAGTGTCAAGAACTCACCACAGAAACCAAGTAAGAGATAATAGCCAAAGTAGAAAGTGGGCACAAGATGTCTGATGTTGCTAGGCAGTATGTCTACAGTAGGCACAATCTTAGCAATGAAAGATATATCAAGAAGTCTCAAGCTGCTAATGGAATAATGAAAATCACATCTGAGAAATATACATCATAATGGAACTCAAAACTGATCTGATGACAGAAGAACTCTCAAAATTAATCAATGAACATCACCAATAAACTCAGCGAAATGCATTTTCTTTTGAAAAAGAGGAAGACGAAAGAGGACCAATGTTGACATCTGCTACTAAAGATCTTTTGAAGAAATGGGATGTCAGAACAACAATCATCCAAGTGGCATCCAAACCAGAATAAGGTTAATGGGGTTGGGAATCTCTACAATTACAATACTATTAATTACTTCCGAAAAATCCTGAAGAAAATAGAAAAGCAATCGACATTGGACAGATTCTTTAAACCCCACAAATGGAAAAAACATGACTAATAAAAATGCAAGACTGCATATATATATGTATTTTTAATATTACATATAAATAAACGTAGTATAAAAGTATATATTTCTTATTTTTTGGAGTCTCCAGAACAAATTAATCAAATGCCCATAAAAACCTATGGTAAATCGATAATCGGTTAACGAACAAAGTCTTGGAACGGATTATGTTTATTAACCAATCACCCACTGTATGCACACTCTCTTTCATATTATGTATTAATTAATGTAAATGAGAATTAAAATGGTATTGATTAACTCTAAGTTCTGAAAATTTCTTCTTTCTATGTTTTTCTCCTCAGGCTACAAAGACAATTTGTATGACAAAGCTAGTCAAACAATTATTTCTTAGGCTGAATTTCTCTCAAACTGATTAATCCATTTTTTGTAATAACACAGGATGTATTTCTTCATAATTCGAAGTTTAGACTATTTACAAAAAGTCTGTGGTAGTGTAAAAAAGGATAAAGATAGACTCAAAAGTTATTTTGACTTTTTGTAAATAGTCTAAACTTCGAATTATGATTAATCCAGTTTTGTGTTTAGAGTTTAAAAAATCAAAAGATATCGTGGAACCTGGTAAACTCAAATTGGTTGAGAAAAAAAATTTTGGATTTAGAGTAAAAAATCTTGAATTATACACTTAACTGAACAGTTAAATAAGGTACCAAGAAATGCTTTCCTGAACAGTTGATCCATTCACTCCTAAGTGTTTAGTAAGAAGTTTTTAAACTGAAATATTTTGCACCTAAAATCAATCTGTTTTTTATTTTTTATCACAAACATACCACTTTTTATAATTGTTATATTTTTGAAATTTTCCCATAAAGGTTAACATTTTTACATAGAATTGGATTGTATGTTTTTCAAAATTAATTTATCAAAAACCCATTTATTTATTACGTCAGCTAATTGGAGAAATCTGTCAGTAACAAAATAAAAAAATGTTTGAAAAAAAATGCATATTTAAATGGTAGTTACAGTATCTAGGTCACAAATGTTCTCTGTAAGCTACCCAGTGCCCACTGTTATGTGACACAATATTTATTTTTAGTCATACATGATTTTCACATTTTATAGAAAGTTTCTGATTAGTTTATTTAATAGTTGGACATTGATTATTTAAGTAAATTAAAATTCTGGAGAGTTTATGAAAATACTGTATAAAAACACCCATTTGAATTAAACAGTTCGATGAATTCAAGTTCACTAGTTTAATTTAACATGTAATCCCCTATACTAAACAATCACGGAAAGAAATTGACTTAGAGTAAAGTGACATTGAGTTATCCTGACTTGAGTTAACCAGATTCCATTGTATATTATTATATACCAAAATTAGTTATGAAATTATATCATCACTATTATTTATTCTTTATTTATTATTTTGATGATAATATCTTAACCTTCTTCATTGATGGGACTCTGTACATGATACGTTGCATTTTCATCTGTTAATTCCATAATTTCTTCTTCATCTTCATCCACTTCCATTACTTCCACTATTCTCACTGAAAGTTCGGGTTTATCTGCAGCTATCACCGACTGTATATTTAGTGCAATGTTATCAATAATACAGTTGTATGGAAACCATTCTTTATAATTTAAATCAGGTACTTCTTCATGCATTTGTATTAATGACGACAGTGATTCCTTTTAAAAAAGTATTAAAATTTAAATTATTGTAAAAAGTAAAAAGTAACAATTTTAAAATATTTTACTTTTTTAGAATAAACTGGAGATGAAAAATGAATTGCTGCTTCTAAAAGATATACTGTTAGAGCAATAACTTGATCTGGAATATCAGGATCATGACATGCCTACGAAATAATATTTATTTTAAATAAAAATGATTTATAAATAAAAATTTTAATCATATAAATTAATATACATACTCTATAAAGAATAGTAAAAATAATGGCATGCATTGTTTTTGATTGTAAGAACTTAACAGGATCTAAAAATTCTTTATGAGTATTTGATGGTATTCTAAATGGAGGCCAGGGAGATTCAAGGGAAACATACTTTCCATTTTGTCGAGCACTGAAAAAATTTAAGAATTATTTTTAAAGCCTATTATAAAATTTAAAAAAATTTAAAAATAAAAATTAATTTACAATTGTGAATATCTATCCAAAGATGACTGGTAATCTCTTCTATGTACAGCTCTAAGCAAAACATGTATAGGGTCATATTCATTTTTCCATATTTCAGGCTTCGGCATATACATTCCTTGAAGCATTGTGCCTCCTGCTTCAAAATTTGGTGCCTTATAATCAGCAACCTAAAATCATTACCATATCTTTTAGATAAAATATTTTAAATTATAAAAGAAATTAAGATGAAAATGAGTAAACCTTATTTAATATACTCTCAAAATCTCTATTTTGTGATGTCATGCCAGAATTTTCTGGCAAGAGATCCATAAGTTGAGAGTGAGTCCTATCACTCATACATAATAATGAAACCATTTCTTGCCTTGTAACTTCTTCTTCACTCATTCCTATTCAAAATAACAGAAATCTAAGGTTATTTTAAAATTTTACACTATTAATTTATCTCAGTTTCCAAAATTTCTTAGCAAAAATTTTGGAAACTGCATATTTTTAAAAATATTTACCAATATTTGTCCGAATTGACATCAACATAGTTAGAAGTGTTAATGCTCCTTCTAACATAGGCATTACTTGTTCAGCATCTAGGAAAGTATTAGTTCTAGATGGATGAAAGGAAAGCCATTCCCATACATGAAATCTAAATAAAATACAAAATTATCTTGTAAAAATTGTTTCTAGCTTCATATAAAGGACATGTAATTATAAATTATAGAATTACCTTTGCATTACTGTTTTCAAAAACCAATCAGGATCTAAATGAGTAGCACATATCTGTAGCAAAACTATATCTGCATCTACCATTGAATTACAGAAATGGCACTGAATGTAAGTCATTGCTTGTCCTTTGATTTGTAATCCATTACGTACCCACATATTACTTAATATTTCATGAAATGCTACCTAAGATATAATTTTCTTTTTTTAGAAAAAATACTTTTATAATTAAAATATTAATCATTCTTAAGTTGTTTATATTAAAACATGATAAAATATAATAAATTATAATCTAATTTACAATCATTTACATATTCCAAACCACATAATGATCATATATTATTTAATTTTTAATTATGTGCTTAATAGAATCTGTCTTATGAAAGATGAATTTTTTAAAAATCATTTTTGATGATTGGTTAGTCAGTCCTTTAAGATATATATAGAAACATCTTAAAAAGATGTTTCTATATATCAGGCTCACTTCCAGTACTCAGTTTGTCCTTGGCTTGTCTCTTCCTCCTAATGGGAACTTTGCAGTAACTTCTGCTCTATGTTTCTCAATATCCTTGTTAACTTCTGTTATAGCTTCATTTTGATGGAATAAACTATCCACTACTTCTTCCTTCGTATAGTCTTTCAGGACCCCATATATAATGATTCTTGGCTTTCGTTTGAGGGGTTCGGAGGTTTCTAAATCTGCATCCTCGATTTATTTTCTTAGTTTCACTTTCTCCTCTATGGTGGCTACCTCTATGGCAACGCCCTTCTTTAGCTTCCAAACGGCCTGTATTCCTACACCCAGACTCTTTGGGTTTATCTTTTCCTTTAGTTTCTTCTTAGTTATTTCGGGGTTGTCCCCTTGGGCTTCTGGCTCCACAAAAATGACCTGTTTGGCAGGTGGTGGCTTCTTGTTTGCCACGGCAGTCTACTTATTGGCTGCACAATAGCTTCAATCTTAGCATTCATTTCGCATATTTGTTCATGAAGATCATCCTTTTCTCCTTGCCTGAACAGATCGATGATATTTTCTACAACTCCCATGATACAGATATAGTCGTAGTGTTTTTATTTGCCTAAACAAGACCCTCCATTCTTTGTTACGTAGTTTCTCAACTGTTAGGTAGGCCATCATCAAGATATACTGCATTGAATTTAAGAACTTTCCAATGGCTTTACAAAAATTTCATAAATATCAAATGTTGCAGCATTCTTNGATTTTAAATCAGGAAGCAATTGGCTTTATCCATTAAGTTAATCTTATGAGTTTTGAAAACCTGTGTTAATGTACACTGGGTTTACCACATACTTGAACTTCATAGACAAAAGTCCAATCCCAACATAGTAATAAAAACTACTGACATGTTTTTATCTTGATTAATCAGACACTAACATATGCAAACAACAGACAAAAATTTCCTACCATTCCTACTCTCCAAAACTTTTGTAAAGTGAACAGTACAATGGGTTTATGTTTCTCAAAAATATTGTTTAAAAAATATTATGCTTATCTTTGATGCTATTATTTGCAAAATTTCTTTGTACTCTTAAACTTGTCAAAGTTTCCACTTAAAATGAAAAGAGAAGTTTAATTTTATTTTAAATCAAGAGACTCTTTTGATACATGTAATATAACAAAATCTTTCGATTATATTATATAGTTTTGGAAATATTAGCATGTAACACATTATGTGTAGCAGCCTGTATATCTTAAATAGTAAAGAGCAAGTAACAAACCATTAAAAATATTTCACTTGAAATTTTTATTGATCTGTAATTTTTTTTTAAATTTTATTCTAGAAAATATCTTTTATAAGACATACAATTTTATTACACAAGAATAAAAGATAATAATTTTATTAATGTATAACAAACTATTTAAATTATAATTAAATATATTAAATTTTATTATTATTTTCTAATATAATTAATAATTTGGCGCACACATAATTATGTGTGCCAAATATAACAGATAACTTACTTTATCAGAAGTAGAAAAACCAATAGCATCAAACCAATCTTCTAAGGCTATTAAACAATGAGAAATTACTTGTTTTGTCAATCCAAGTTGTTCCTACAGAAAACATTTCAATTTTAGAAATAACAATGAAAAATTTTAAAAATTTAACTCTACAAAATTTTATTTTACATTCATTTAAAATTTATGAAACTTTTATGATTAATCTTATTATTAATAATTGAAAAATTTATAATTCAATTTCATTTTACTTTCTCTAATAATTTAACAAAAGTAAATGAAAAATACAGTAGGCCCACACTAATTTGGACTAATTGGGGAAAAACCTAGTCCAAATTAATGAGGCTCAAAATGCATGGTATAGTAACTCAACAATAATAAACAATTGCTTGCTATTGTTGAGTTACTGTCTAGTGATAATTTTAGAATCCTATTAATAATGTGTATATAATAACTTGTAATAATTGTACTGCTAATGTATAATGTAATGTTAGAAAATTGTCACCATAGCCTGTTTTGTAGGTCACTCAATTAATAAGAGTCAGTAAGGACAAAATGCATTTTGGAATAAGTTAATTAAATAAACTGGGTGTGTAATAAGCTTGTTCATTAGTCATATGTAACTAAGTAGTTTTTGTAATTAAATAATACAGGCAAGAAGCTTTTTAATATATTATCTAAAAATATGTTTAACAAAAAAATAAAACCATTTAAAAAAATATAAATTTTTATGATCAATAATATATAAAAGCTAGATCAAACTCATTAATTAATCTATAACATAAACTAATTTTATTTAAATACTTACAGGAGATTTTAAATGAGATATCAAAGCCCACATGGGAGTAGCTGATCCCTCTAATTCAGCAGAAAAAGCAGCATAATACGTATTTGGCTCAAATTCTACATGTTGCGATAATTCTCTTTGATTAACATTCATGCCTAACAAAGTAAAATATTTTTAAAATTCAAATATTGTAACTAGATGGAAAATGTGATGAGCTCATTTATCAAATGTTGATTATTTTATACATGTATGTTTTAATTCAGTTAAACTTTTGCCGTTTGTAGACCAGCATCAAAAAATATATATAATAATAATAATAATAAAGTAGCAAATATAATACACCAAGAACTTGCAAACAAACACAAATTATTAGACATCCATGAACCATACTACAAATTCCATAGACAGTATTGAAAAACAACACACACAAAACATATTATGACAGAGCCATAATCACAGAATATACCACAACAGACCAGACATCACACTCATTGACAAACACAATAAAATCACATACATTATAGACATCCATTCCAAACATTCATAATATACAAAACACATGCACTGAAAAAATCAGCAAGTACACAGAACTCACCCAGGAAATAAGGCATCTGTGGAGGATGGATAGGGTACTTATTGTAGTACCACATACATTACACAAAAGCCTGGAAACATTACAATTGAATAGAAACACATATATCACACTACAGAAGGCCACTATATTGAATACGTGTCATATTGTTAGGAAATTCCTGAATACAGATACACACACTGACACACTTATTTAATCCGGCATACTACTGTACATGGCAACCAGTGTCAACGAGTATAACTCACTAAACTCAACTTAATAATAATAATCTATTTATTTATTTTTAATTAAATAATGTCCTAAGGCAAGTAATGAACTCTCTCTAACAATAAAATGAAATACTAATCCAACAAAAGCAAGACACAACTTTAAAATTGCTTAAACATATGAAAGATATTATCTTTTTATATATTAATTTAAAATGAGAAGAATTCAGATGGAATCTGTCTTCAATAGGGCATAAGGATATAAAGGTTTGAAAATAGAATGATTTTAAATAGAAGTATTTAAGTCTCAAGTGATTAAATTTAAGTATAACATGAGTATGAACTCAAAGATAAATATTATCTAGTGGCAGAAATCTATTAAAAACATTAAAATAGGATCAGAATATTTAATTCTTTCATGAAAACCTGGATAACTAGTAATGCCTTGATTAATTAATGTAAGACAATTCCAAGTTCTTTAACCTATTCGATGTTGAATATTTTCTCCGTCGCGTGTCACTCCATGTTGAATATTTTTTGATGTCAAGCCTAACACGATCACACATTTTAGAAAAATAATAATTGTGGCTATTGTATTATTCCAGATTAACACAAACTAGATATATTAGGGAATGTAAAAAATAAAAAATTTTATTTTAAAAGTTAATTTTAGTGTGATATATCTCGAAACAAGATACAACACACAGTGGAACATTACACTGAACACATTGATAACATGATTCTGCACGTTTTTTGTGAGCCGAACATACTTTACATACTCTGGATGGATGCTTTTTTTTCTCTGTAGGTGGTATGAGACTAGGAAAATGCAGTTCGGATAAATGTAATGGATTTTCATGTGATGGTCAACCGTGGCGGGCTAGATGTCTGCTTGTGTGATACTTCTCTATCACTTCTCTGATTACAGACATACGAAAATCTAAAAATGATATTTGTTTTTTCGTATGTTTTAAATACAAAATACAAGCATTATATAATGTAATATCCATCATATGAAAAAACACTTTTTTGTACCATTTTACCATTTTTCTCATACATGGACAATTGTGTATTACTCCATCAGAGAGATCAATACCACCCATATTGCGATTATAATCCAAAATACAATTTGGTTTCCTTATAATTTCCCCAGATCTGTCACATTTACCTGAATCAGAGAATTCGTTGTCACTCATTGTACTTAGAATTGCCACATCCCTTTTGTCTTTCCAGCAGAACACAGACAATTCATCTTTCTGACAGGTGATAAATTCCCCTTCTTTCAATTTACGATTAGGAAAATTATGTGGCATTCCTATCCGATTTTTATTTACAGTTCCACATACATAAGATTTTTTTGTCTAGAAGTGTTTTCACTAAGGTCGGTGAGGTGAAAAACCTATCTAAAAACACCTTGTGATACTTACCGAACAACGGTTCTAATAAGGTTAGCACAACCTTCTCTCCTTGCCCATCTTCAAAATTTCCATATTCAGTAGTAGCTCCAGTATAAACTATAAAGTCCCAAACATATCCTGTTTGTGACTCACAAATTTCGAAGCTTTTCACTCCAAAATGAGTACGCTTGTTCGGTATGTATCGCCTAAATCCCAATCTCCCTTTACATAGCATAAGACTTTCGTCTACACAGATATTTTCCTCTGGGAGATATACATTTTTGAACTTGTGGTGTAAATGATTGATAACACTGCGTAATTTATGCAGTCAATCATCACCACCTGAAGCTTGATTATTGTCCGTAAAATGCAGACAGCACAATAAAAGTTGAAAGCAGTTGCTCAACATCGCACTTGAGAAAAAGGGTGTCAGAAAAAGATCTTCAATCGTAAAATACATGCTTAAGCGTGGTTTTCTAATTATGCTTGTGACCATTATAAGTCCTAGAAATTCTCTAATTTCTGGATTTGTCATTGGTTTCCAGTTTTTTATCTGACTATTCTCTCATAAATTGTCACAGTTTAGCAAACTATCACCATACCTGTTCATTTCTGAAACAATCTTGTTGACGAGTTCGTCATCGAAAAATACACTGAAACAGTTGAACAGTGTAGAATCACTCCGTAGATTACATAGTATTCCTAATGGTCCCATAAAACTGTTCACTTGAGGATGTCTGAAATTTGTATGAATCCATCCATTGTCACTACTAAATCATGGACATTCAGCAGTATTACTTCGAGTACTGCCACGTGATCTCCCTCTATATCCACTCGTAGATGATGAATCGGGATGAAAATCACCACTGTCATCAATTACATTTTGATCTGGTATGTAATCATCATTGCTGTCTGAAAATTAAGATTCATCAGAATTTAAATTGAATAAAAATTCGATAACTTCTGACTTATTTAGAGTGCTGTGTCTACTACTTGCTGCCATGTCGAAAGACAGAGATTTGAGACAGTGGTCTGATTTTCTTTGTGATTTCTAACAAAGAACAATTCCTAGAATTTCAATATACTGCTGAGCAAAAACTAGATAACATATTGGTTCTTCTGATATGAGTCACTTATTTCAAAACAACATACAAGTAGCGACATCTGATGTTTAAAAAATGTTCCGATGTAAACAGGTAAATTTTTGGGATCGCCCATGCAGGTCAACATGTACAACAGGTTAAAAATATAACTATAACAATAATCTGTTTTATTGAAGTTCACTTTAATAACAGTTTTTCTAAAATACATTCAAGCAACCTAGCACATTTATCAGAAGATAAATGGGCTTGTTTGCTCAAAAGTAAATTAATTGACTACTGTTAGTGGTATTTGTGATACTACTAGCAATACTCAATTCTATAAATTTTAGAAGTGTCAGACAGATTTTTAAAAGTGTGTTTCATTATATTCTTTGCTTTTACTGTATTTTATTCTACTATTCTTGGGGGATACCAAGAATATAATGCTTTTTCAAAACAATTGCATTATACAAAATTACTAATGTCAAAAAAACTAATCATTCTTTAGATTTCCATTAAAATATATGGATAATAAAAGCAAGTTAAAATAGGAAAAGTGTGTGTGTGGGGGGTGTACCAAGCATATACATTTAAGCCTTTGTATTTTCTAATTCAAAATGTAAACTTTTAGATACTGTATCTTCTTGAGTGGTTTACTTGCATGAATTCAAGTTTTTATGTACACTCAAACTGTATGCATTTGTTTTAGTCATCAATGGTGAAAATGTTTTCTGAAATTCCCATCTATTATCAGCACATTGATGCAATTGTTGTCATTCATTCATATTTGTTATATATTAATAGTATAAACAATACAGAACATTATCAATAGTATATTCTTTTTAAAAATATCAATGTATTAGAAGAGCAAAGCAATCTTTCATTATTTTAAAACCAAAATGGATTTATGCCAGTAACTCACACATTCAAATTACAATATAGATATGGACAAAAATACAAAATAATAATATTTTCTGAAATTTCTGTTGAAACCAAACATAAAATCAAGTAAAGCAAATTTATACTTTTAAACACTGAAAAATTTTCTGCTCAAGTGTGAAGTCTCTCAAGATGACATTCACTTTGGTCATGTAGTCCTATATTAATCTGTAAAATAGCAGATAGTACCAGAGTCATAAGACTAAAGTAGCAATGCTTCATAGTGGTATAATTTGCCTATACCATTCTTAAATGTCCATCTATTAGAAAGTATATAACAAAATACCATATACATATGTATGCATCTAAAACAAAAATTTACCTCTCCTGATTATTCTTATAACAGCAGTCCTACGTAATCACTTATAGGTGATTAAGTAAAACATTTTCCAATAAAAATTACATTCAAAACAGTGATGCTTCACCTAATTGCTCACAGGCAATTAGGTAAAGGATTTACAATAAAAAAATTTATTAAGAATTTATATATTAACACTAAATACACAGTACAGTGGATAATGAATAATGAACAAATCTGATAACAAACACTTTCGTGAAAGATTTTTATGTTCAGATAACAAACACGAGAAGAAGCAACGTAAAATAATGAATACTGATTCGTCTTCCCTTGCCTTCGGGCAACAAATTGAAACTTTTCAGAGAGCGGAAGACGTCAACATTGATGCTCAACCCAGTATATACTGATCGGATAGTATTCCTCTGAACTTTTAAACTCTCCCTTGTAATTTTAGCCTTTTATTTTTCTGACAGAAACAATTCTTTCATAGTATTCGCAAGACTGTTATGCAGGCACTCGTTAAGTTTTGTGTTAATTTTTACTTTCGAAAGGTGAGAGTATAATAGCAAAGGTAGAGAGAGAGAGTGGGCAGAAGATGTCTGATGTTGCTGGGCAGTATGACTTAAACAGGTCTACAGTAGGCTGCCATTCAATCTTATCTAAGAAAGATACTGTACAATTGAGAAGACTCAAGCAGATTAAGGAGTAACAAAAATCACATCTGAGAAATAAAGAACATTGAAGAGCTCATAATGAAACCTGAAACTGATCTGACAACAGAAGAATGCCAAGAAACTCAGCGAGATATTTTTTTTTTTTTCTGAAAAAGAGGATTAATGCTGATATCTGCTATTAAACATCTTTTGAAAAAGTGGGAGGATGCCAGAACAACAGTCTTAGAATGGCATCCAAACTAGGTTGAGGTTAATAGGCTTGGAGATCTCTACAATTACAATGCTATTAATTACTTCCGAAAAATTCTGAAGAAGAGAGAAAAGCAATCAACATTGGACAGATTCTTTAACCCCCACAAACAGAAAAAACATGACCAATAAAAATGCAAACTGTATATATGTATTTTTATTATTACATATAAATAAACATAGTAAGAAAGTATCAATTTTTTTATTTTTTGGAGTTTCCAGAACAAATTAATCAAATTCCCATAAAAACCTATGGTAAATCAATAATCGGTTAACGAACAATTTGGATAGTGAAGTCTTGGAACAGATTATGTTCTTTAAACGATCACCCACTGTATCATTATGAATAAAAAGCAATCTAACATTAATATAACCATACTGTCATAATTTTCTCATTAATATCTGAAAAACTTTTAAAAATGGATAATAGTTGGTAAACAGGAAGTGAACAATAACATAAAACTTATATCATTTTGATTTTGCTATGACTTAGAAAATTGTATGTTTTAAATAAAGTAACTTCTATGATTTATTACAAATATTTTTGAAGTTGATGTAAATATATTTCACATGTAAATCTTGACATACTATAAATATTAATTAGAATTTTTTCAAAGATAAATTGATAAAGAATTTAATTTTTAAAAATATTTAAAAATTTAATATTTATATATACCTTGAAACATACAAAGAAGTGAAAGCCACATATCTAACAATCCTGGATCACTCAAAAATTCAAGTGCCACTGGACGATGGGTAAGTACATTATTTAAATCACTGACTAGAGGCCAATAACAGTGATTTTTCATAACTGTATGACCACAGTTAACAACATAATGAAAGTTTTTCTCTGCATCTATAAAAAAATTTAATCATAATGTACATTATAAAGATCAAAGGAAATAATGTTATAAATTTTAAAGAAGTTTGTTTAAAAATTATTGAAACTGAATGAAATAATTTGAATGTTTTATTCTACATCTTAAAAATGTACAATATATGTTAAAAAATAACTTTTATTCAATTTTTCATTTCCTATATTATTACTAATTATTTCATAAAGTATTTTTTATTTTAGATTGCTTTATGATGATAATATTACATCAAAACTCTGTTAAATTTGCCTCTTAATTCTATTTTTTATTAAAAACCACAGTGAACAGCCTGCTGTACAGAAATCAAACTATTTGTTGAAGCTATGTGCATAACTATAAATAATCAGATTCCTATAAGAGAAAACTGTTCACTGTGTTTCTAAATACTATTAACAGCCAACCAGATCTGCCAATATGAGATGTATCAAAAATAAAAAGAAAAAGTTAACATACAGAATATCATTCAGATATTTAATTGTTCCTAGTTATTTTTATCAAAATTCCAGAAATAATTTGTAAAAATATGCATGTAACATGCACAATAACTGTAGTATATCATTTTACAGTGTGAAATCTCATATTACATGAAGGAACAATAAATTACCTTGAACCAGAGTCAAAAAATACAAAACTTTATTTATCTAACTTAAGAACCAGATCTGGTCTTTAACTTCTACAAAAGAAAAAACACTCAATTAATTAATCTTTTATAATATAAACAAGAAAACAACCAGACAAATTAAAAATCCTTAATAATAACAATAAATTAAAAAAAAACCAATCAAGATCAATTACAAGTCTATATAATTAAATACTAAAAGATTTAGTTTGACAAATAAATTTTCCATAACTATTCATAAAATATGTTTACAATTCATATCTTCTATTTTGTTATGAAATACAAATATGGAATATTTATCCTTCTAATAATAATTATAATGAAACAAAATGTTTTTAATCTAGCAAATATTAAATTTTTATGGATATTGTTTGTCTTAACTTATATAATCTAAAACAAAATTCATGAAGAAATAAAAAAAGAAAATAATATCAAGTGCTCAAAAACTTAGATATATTATTGTAAAAGTATTAAAATGAATAAAATTCCCACATTATTACAGACCATAATAAAAAAGTCATTTTATTTTTAATTGTCTATACTATTTAATATATTTTATGTACTGTACATTACAGAAATTGCTATAGTATAGCAACATTAGAATTAAGAATTATATAGTTAGTAAAAACACTGTCTTGCAAAAATTCAATTGTTTTAGTATCTTTTGAATGGTGTTTAAATCCTGATAATTTTAAATTAAATTAAAAAGATTATTATTTTAAAGATTTTCCTGAACATTTAATGCACAATTCAATGTCTTAAGATATCATTAATGAGCTGCTTTTTTTGGTTGCTCAACATGATCCTAAATATTTTCAATGATCAGTCAATATGGAATATCTCTGCTCTTAAATTTCATTCTAAACTCATTCTGCATTATAACAAAAACAATAATTTAATAAAACTGCTCCAAACAAAAACATATAATCTATATATAAATGAAGATGTTTATTTGTTTGCAATACATTCCTAGGCCATTTGATCAATTGCTACAAAACTTAGTAGTTACATTCACAAATTTCTAATTTAGATAATGTCATATATCCCATCCCAAAATATCTACTGAATTTCTGCAAATAAATTAATTTCTATCTACATTCATTTTGTTGATTTATATGTAGC